TCTAGCATTATATCCATCCGGACCTGGACTCTTATCTCCATTAAAGCTAAACATGACTTCCTTAACCTCACTAGTAGTAATATGAGAGCAGAGAGAAGAAACCTGCTTAGAGTTAAGTTTATGCCTTAACAGACCCTTAAAGAAATCCACTGATTCACTCTCAACATGTGGATTCTCCCTCCCCAGCAGAAGCATATAGAAATCAATAGCCACTTGACACATATCTTCAACTGAAGTGACTGAGTTCCCCTGAGCATCCTTAAGAGAAGTTATAGTATTCCGTTTGAGTCTAGTTCTCATGGAGCGATGGAAGTAACCAGAATTTGTATCACCTACTCTTAGCCACAGCTCTCTAGATTTCTACCTCAAAAAACTTTCCTCAGCTTTCATAAGATCGAACAGCTCTTTAGAAACCCTTACTTCAACCTCAAAACTCATTGGAGAAGGACTTGAAAGGGTAGCAGTTGAATAGATTCAAGCTCCTTCTCTTTTTCTCTTACTCTCCCCCTTATGTCAGAAAACTCTTCCCTGTTGAGCTTCTTGAGCAGACCTTTGAGTAACCTTAGTTTCTTGTAGACCCTAATAAGAGGAGGACCGTCCACCCCTTCAGACCAAGCCTGGGCAAGCAACTCCTCAAACTTTGGATGCTCTAGCCAGAAATTGAAAAAATTTAATGGCTTAGGCAATGACTTAAGAGGAAACTCAGTATGAATAAAAACCGAACAGTGATCTGAAACCCCAGGAGACTTGCACATGCACTACACTTTGCTTCATCTCTTCTAACCAATCCACATTAACAAAAGCCATGTCTAGTCTCCTAGCAATGGGATCATTTTGCCTCTTGTTGAGCCATGTAAACCATGGCCCAGTAGATTTGTGTTCCTCCACCTCAATTTCACTCAACCAGTCATTCAGAGATTTCATACTAGTAGAATAATGGGGATTGTTTGAGCCTTCACTCGGATCTCGAATAGCATTGAAGTCCCCAATCAGCATCCAGGGGAAATTTACCACTTTGAGTCTATTAACAGCAGCATACAGACCTTCCCTCTGACTTTCACTATTAGAAGCATAAAAAAATGTGACAAAGAAAGGAGCCTTCCCTCCAATTAGAGCATGAGCAAACTGATCAGAGCTGTCTATGATGGTCAGCTGAACCTCAAAGCGCCATACTAACCAGATTTTCCCCAACCCTTTATCATTGAATAAGATTTCCTGCCCCCACCCTGTAAATCTCTTTTGCTTCAATTTCTTTGCTTCCACCCTGTTTACCCGAGGCTCCAAAATAGCAACAATATCTAAACTATATTTATTAATCTTATTTAGTATAGCTGTATACTTCTTATCCGCAACAAACCCTCTAGTGTTCCATGAGAGGATCTTCATCTACGACCCCTTCCTCTCCCTCCACCTTTCCCCCCTTTCTTCCTGTTATCCCTAACATCTGGAGGATCTATCCAAATCTTCTTACCCTTATCAGCAACACTTGGTGGGATTCTATTCTCTTTATCAAGGATGGCAAATCTGGATCCAGTCTGAATGACCCGAGCAGTCATTAGAAGGTTAATTATTCTTTGAGAGAATTAAACTCACTATTAATTTATTAATAATCTCATTGTTCTTTGGTTAATTATAAGCCTTGATGTAGATGCTCTAAGTAAAAGGCCTCGAGTGAAAACAATACATTTCCTTTGTTCAAAGGCTCTAACATCTCTCTAGCTTCCTTCGCAAAATGTCGTTGGGGGTGTCGTCCGTTTTCACTCTTTTGGTGAACGGCGATCACCAAGCACCATCTTTTCCAGTGATTTTTTTTTGCTCCCAACCCCTTGACTTCCCCTTCGTTTTCACCGGTCATTTCCTTTAGCCGTCTTTCTTTTCGGAGTTTTTTTCTTGCTTTTCCCATTGTTCCTTCTGCGTTTGTCTACTTTTCCAGCCATGTTTTGGCTCTCTCTTCCACTCTCTGGTTTGATTCACATCCCTTTGGAGATTTCCCTTTTCCCCTACTGTGGATTGATTTTTTTACCCACCGATCCATTTTCAGATTTGGAGATGCTTGTCCCGTTCAAGATGCGATGGAGGTTGGATCAGACAGATCCGACTTGTCTTCTCCTCTCCCCTTCTGTGGTCTACCTCCTTGTTTTGCCTTGCATTTCTTGGCAATCGGTAGATGCAGGCCTTGGCGAGGATCTGGATGGGAGATCTTGAAGACTGGTGTATTCTAACTCTCTGCCTCCGCTGACCTTCTGGTTGTTTTGTTAAGTCTCGTGGTGGTCGATGAGATGTGTATGACAATTTGTTCAGTGTGAGATGATTCGGTGGTTGTTTCCTCCTCGTCTTGCATTCCGGGATAAGGTGGGTACCCAAACCAAAGCTTGGCTCGCGGCGGCGCTCAAAGGATGGGTGGCGGAGACTTGTCTGAAGCGGTGGTGGTGCTCAGCTGCGGCGCCGGAGGAGGGGCTGAGAGGGCACGTTGCGGCTAGGGTTTGGGTAAGGCTTTGACTTGTTTGGGTTCTAGGCCCGGAGCCTATTGGGCCTCCGGGTTTGTCTTTGAGCCTTTTGTTTGGGTGTTTTTCATTTCATTTCTACATTGTTTGCTTGTACACTTCCTTTGTGGGCTTGGCCCATTCGTTTTATCCTAATGAACGCCTTTTAAAAAAAAAAGTAAAAGGCAGCAAGAGTCGGCACTGTCACTTATTCGAGCCTAATTGTATACTTTTTATCCACGATTCTCTTTGACGTTTGTTGCACTTGAACTCCAAAAAGGTTGGTTTTACGCGAGGTTGCTTGTGATTTAGTGTGTTTCATATCCTAACAGATAAAACGAAACCCGAAGTCAAAAGTTGGAAGAAAAGGAGCAAAAATCGGGCAAAGAGGTGGAGACAGCCGCTATGCACGGCAGACATTGGAGTGCACGGTCTTACAGGACAGTGAAATGGAGCCATGACTCGTGAACCGAGGAGCAAACAGAGGGGTTTTCAGGTTACTGACGCCCAGGCAGTTCACGGTCACTAAGACCGTGAACCCGAGCAAATGAAGCGGTGTGTTTTGGTCGCAACACTGAGTTCACGGACGCGTTTCAATGTTCACGGTCGTGTACTCTGGGCGCGATCTCCACTTAAAAGGAAAGTTGAAAGGAAGAAGAGGGGGAGAGACCTAGAGTGAGAAACTGCTTCTTCTTCAGATTTTAGAGTGAGAAAGTAACAAACCAAAAAAGAGGAAAAGCTAGGGTTTCGTCTCCAAGCAAGGTTTTGGGAATTTCTTCTCCAAAGGAGGATTTATTCAGCACAAGGAGCAAGGATTGCATCTTCTTGATGGGTTCCCTTTCCCTCTCTTGTGTTTTCCCTTCTCCTAGCATGGAGTAGTCCCTTCTTTCACTTGGGTGTTTGTAAACCCTAGCTACAATTATGTGAATGCTTGTATGAATTGAATGATTTGTGTGTGGTTGTGTGTTAATGTGAATGTGGATGTATTATTCAGAAATGATTGTGTTGTGTGAAAGCCTATCAATCTAATTGTCATTCTAACCTAGCTTAGAGAGGAGATCTCCTTAAGTTAGGAGGTTCATTGGGTGTTCTTGGGCATTTCATGCCTCCTAGGCTAGTTTAGAGAGGAAACCTCCTTAGGTTAAGAGGCTCAATTCGAGATTGGGTGTTCTTTGGCATTTCATGCCTCCTAGGCTCGTTAGAGTGGAAACCTCATTTACCCAAGAGGCTCGGTTTCCTTGGGCATTCAACGCCTCCTAAACTAGTTTAGAGAGAACCCTCCTTAACCTAAGACGCTCATTCGAGATGAGTTTCCTTAGGCATTCAATGCCTCCTAAGCTAGTTTAGAGAGAAACTTAAGAGGCTCTATTAGAGATGGGTTTCCTTGGGCATTCTATGCCTCCTATTCTAGGTTAGTTAAAGGCCAAACCTCCTAATTCGCATTAGCACTTAGGGTTTGGTTGTGAGTGGTCGTCCGAACTCCAATTCGAGGGTGAAGTCTAACAATTCCTTAGTTGATAGGTTGAGAGAGTCACATTAGTGGCTTGGATCGTATCCCATTCCTCAACCTAGAGGCTAATAGGGTAGCTTCGGCTACTTGTTAGACTTCCCTGCGGTTTATGACCCCCCCCCCCCCCAACCACACACGATCGTTCGATTCTTCAAGTCATAATTGTTAGCTAGGGGGACTGACACCCTGGTGAAGCTTTCTCAACTAGAGTCAAACCCCATTTTACCTTTACAAAGCAATTTAGTTTTAGACCTTTGTTTTCACCAAAACCAATCCGCTAGATAATGTTTCAAACATTCGAAGTAGCGGTGCATGGACCGGTCCGGGTCGATATTTAAACATACTTGCCCTATATTGCACCCATCTAAGGTTTATACTTGGACCTTATGTGGGATTTTATTATAATAGTCAGAGCGAGTCAGTCACTTTGAACGGAAGCCGGTTCATTACTTCCATACATATATGACAAATTAAACGCTCAATCACAGCCAATCTGGCACCAGCCCTAATAGGGTAATTAACCTTGTTTTTAAGGTTTAAACAAAGGGCATTAATTGCAGAGAACAGGGGCCTTAATGCATGCAGTCTAGACCGATTGTCGCCGACCACTTGGGGAATTACCGACGATAGTCAGGGGCAAGTCTTGAAAACCCATCCTTCATGTTCACCATCTGATTTTTTGCGCCGCTGGTATATCAGTGGGTTACTGTTTTAAAATGGAACATAGCAGATGACCACCATTGTAATAAGCTGAGAAGAGGAACTTGTTGACTTTACTTGCATCACGAGAAAATGTCATGGTTAGCCAGAAAATGTCATGGTTAGCCAGGTATATCGCCAAAAACTCTCAGGCTCAACGACGTTGAATAGCATTAATTAAATTTCGGTTCGATTTAATTCGATTTTGATTCGGTTCGAGTTTACCGAACCGGTTGCCCACCCCTAGATGGATTCGTCGTCCATGAAGGATTTTGTCCCTTGTTAGCGGCTTCATTTCCTAAACACCTTCTTCTTGTTGCGAGTTAGTTTAGCATTATAGTCATATACGTCTTTAAAACAACATCAGGTAGACAGGTACTCACAATCCAAGGGTAAGTAGCCCATGTACAAATGAGCTAATAAAGCTCATTAAAATTTTCCTGATACGAACTAAAGAAGCCCTTCTTAAATAATTGACTTAAGGACTACATCCGAACCGTCACATACATCTAAGCCGCGAATAGACAACAAAAAACAAATGGTCTCCCTGTTCAGAGAGCAGATATGAACTTCTGTATCCTTGATTGTGCTCGCTCCTTTTCTTCTGGTCCGTCCAAGTCACCAATGTTGTCGTGATACTCCTGCCAGAAATTGCGAACTCTATCAGGATTAATGTGAACAATGATCACAAACATCAGCAACATATCACTAAGCAGCACCACAACGGATTTTTTTCCAGTAAATATGATCTCTTTTGTATGTTAGCATATAAGAATGAAGAAGAAGAATAGCCCAAGTACAGTTCTTCCGGATTCACATACGTCCACTATGGACACCTAGGCTACATGGCTCACATATCTACAAGAGGAAGTCAAGTTTACTGGCAGAGTCTAAGGATACGTGCAATATTTGATTAAGCACATACCTGAAGTACATCTTTGACATCCTTCTTACTGAGCTTGTGCTGTTTCAGTAGTAGTTCAATTCTTGCCCTCATCCCTTGGTGCCTAAAAACAGTAGTAGCGAGAAGGTCAGCACTAGAAATTGATAAAGTCGAAAGGAATATTAAAAAAAGAACAGCCGAAGACGACTTACTCAGAGCACCAGAGGTGACCTAGAATTATTGCAATCAGCTGCAGGATCACAAAACATAAGGCAATGAGTTTGAGCACGTTACATTTAACAGTTTCGAAATTTCACATATCTGAAATCTCGAGCAGTATCAAAGTAAATTACATACAAGTACAATGAAAACAAGACTTAAGTTCATACTCGTCCTTTTTCTCTTTATCCAACTCTTGGATAAGTATGATCAGTCATACAGCTTTTATGCTGGATAAGAACTTAGGATCTTAAATCTTATACATAACAGTTGGAACTGTCACTGCGAGTTGATTGATGTTCTAAGGTTTAGGTCTTCAAATGATTGATATTCTTCTTCTGATATCCTAGATATTTTCACTAGGCAAATAACATTTAGTGGAATCAAACTCCTACATGACAACCAACACACCACCTGCCCAAGAAAAGGCTATCCTTTCTCCATATCAATGCAAATACATCGGAAAACTCAATGACAAAATCTAACCTGAAGGGTATAAAGTCCAAATCCCAGTTTTCTGTTGTATATTTCCTCGTCATCCATCTGCAAAAACACAACTGTTACGTGCTGAACCCATTGAGAAAACCATATATCAGCCACTCGGAAAAAATAAAAAAGCAAAACAAATCCCACAAACCTCTATATCATCCACTTCAAGCTGCTCCATCCTTTTAGTCTCCGATTTTACCCTGTCTGAGTATCTGAATTGAAATTGTCAAATTACCCACATGTCAAGACAGGTAATGGAGCATGGAATTTTTGATACAATCAGGAAAGCTACACAAGAACTCTGGCTGCATCCCTGGGTAACTCAAGTAAGTAGATAATGTGTCTTCTTATTTGAGTTCATGATACCAAGAAAGAAGAACATTGAACTTTAGCGCAAGAACTTAATTTACTTCACAGGTTAAGCACACACATATATTGTTGCAAAAATGGAAAAAGCCCAACAAGGAAAGAAATAAAAGAAGATTAAACAAAGGCTCACCTAATATACAGCTCCATAAGTCGGTCTATTTTCTCACACTCATTCTCCACAAATTTGCTTAGCAATCTTTCCCTCCTAGTGCCTCTCAGAATTCCACCTGGAGAGACAAAGAACCTCAGGAGATTAACAGGTGAACTATAGAAACGGGAAAGGAAAATAAATTCAGAAGATGCTTTTATCTGAGTCCTTGTAGGTTTCCTTCAGCATTTAGAAACAAAGAAGCCACTAGGAGATCCCGAGACATAATATCAGCTTTGGGTCAAATATGCAATTTGGGGTTCCGATAAATTTAGCAGTTAGTTCCATGTTCAACCTCTATAGTTCTCACAACCAATTGATACCTGTTGGAGGTAGTCATACAGTTCAAGCCAGTCACATTATGTGGTCAAGACATTATTGACAGATCGATTGATTAATTAGTTCGACATGACTGTCAAGAAACACAATGGATAAAAAGAATGGAATGCCGAATGAAGGGTAGTGTTCAAATCGAGAACGCTGAAAATGCAGGAAAATACTGATGTATTTGATTTTACAAGTAGAGCAAGTTGTCCACTTACCAAATAATGATGCCATCAGGGACACAATTCGCTCTTCTAACTCCTCTTGGTAGCTTTCTTTCTTATTCTTCTTGCTCATCGGAATCTAAAAGAGAAGAAAGTGAAACTTTTAGTTCACCCACCACCAAAAACTAAAGAAAAACAGAAGTGGCAGACAACATAAACTCAAAAATGAAAGACTAACACCTGCAGATAGAAGGACAAACATAAGGAAAATAGCTAGCTATGAACACATAATAAGCATATAGACTTGCAATATAAGTATTTGTATTCAATACTTTAGAGCAACCTTATAGATAGGATACATCAAGAAAGTCAGTAAGAAGATTCCTCCTTCCTATCACCCAACTCAGCTACACTTATCCGTCTGTGTCAATCTACCCTATGAACCAAGGGAGTTCCTCAAGCCATCAAATCTATATAGTGAAAGTTAGTCGCCTTGTATTACCGTGAAATTTGAGCACTTATCAGGACAACGTTCCTTATTAACTTAGATAAATCATAGCGAAGTGAGGTAAGGCATATCAAACAATACAGCCAAGGCCAGAAGATCAGAGAAGATGAACTTGCCTTACCCATGAAAGCAGAGAATGCTGTCTTCAGACCCAAAACATCAACAAATCGCTCGCATGCAGGCGGATACTTGGTCATTGCAAAATCAAGCGCCCTGATGGCTGAACTGTAAGCAGATTTCTTCTGCTTCATTATGATAATCATCAACTCCACTCCCTCTGCATTAACAAACCTCTCCTTATTCTCCAATGGCATCAGCAAACAACACAAGCAATCAAATAGATTCTCCACCATCTCCTCTTCATCAGAACTCTTGGGATCCTTGGACTTGTACATGGCCACTGCCTGCAACACCATATCCACCCCGTTCATCTGCCCCAGCTTCTTCTGGTTCGCCGTACTATTCTGCAACAAAATCGCCAATATCTCGGAAGCGTACTGCTTGTTGCTATCGAACTCTCTCACTTTGATCTTCCCAAGCAACCACCTGAGCAGTTTCGTCCTCTCGCATACCAATTCTGCCACAGCCGGCTTCACCTCGATCATATTTTCAATCGTCGCCAGCGTAGTGTAGATTGCAGCCATCTCATCAGCATCCGTCTCGGATAACCTCTGCAGATTCTGAACCAAGAGCTCCAACACATTGTTCTCCACAAGCGCATCCACAAGAACCCTGGCTGGCTCGTCGTTGTCCTCCAGAACGTCCTCATCGGTAAGATCCTGCAGTAACTGAACAACGTCGACAGCTATATCGGTGTTGTCGTGCGTGAGAAGGCCCAAAATTGAAGGAATCGTGTTGAGATTGACGAGGTCTGGATACAGCTCCGGGCCGCCGGCGAGCACTCGGAGCTTCTCGAGCTCCAAATGGAGTTCGACCTCAGAATCGGAAAAGCGGTCGGGCTGGTCAGGGTACTTGAGGCGGGCCTCGATGTTCTCCTTGTAGCGGCGCTCGAAGGAGAGAACCAGCTTCTTCAAGGTACGGAGGTCGAGAGCTTCGACGGCACTCTGCGACTTCTCGACGGCTTCCAGGAGACTGAGGTCGACATCGTTGCTGCTATTGTTGCTAGTGCCAGTGATACCGCCGACGTAGTGGTCATCGTTGCCATTGTCAAAGAAATCTGGCGGCGGATGCGACGGAGGAAGGGATGAAGCCTCTCGCTTCCGTTTCGGGTTTTGGCCGCGAGAGCTGGCAGATTCCATGTGGTTACTCTTCGCCTGACTAAAACTTACTTGCTGCTGATGATGCTTCTTCGTACTAGCTCCGTTCAGCTCAGACTCCGTCAATTGGTTCTGCAGGCGATGGAATGTCACGCCGGTAGGGCTTGTGGCGAAGTTTATACCCGTCTCCCCTTGCTTCCTGTCCCTGACTCGAAATTCAATTTCAAGCTCGCGTGACTCGACTCGACTCGACTCAATCCCACCGCCCAAAGGTATTCTGGGCCAGAGTGGAATTTGACCTGACCCGTTATTGGTTCGAATCGTGATCCCCTTTTGTTGGGTAGTTATCATAAATGGTCACAAAACTATTCACTTTGTACAAAACGTTCACAAACCTTTATTTTTGTACGTTTCAGTAACATATGTTTGTACTAATCTACAAGATATATAATGGCAAAACATGTGGTGAATTTTCAGCATTTTGAAAATGGAGGCCTGAGAGTGATTTGCGGATGGGCTTTTCTGTCCTTTCATATTGAGAAAATAAGTGATGCTATGCGTTTTGTTGCTGACAGTTTAATGCTGCCCCCCACAAATGGGCCAGTGTAGGGCCTGGTCAAATCGACATGGGCTTTCGTCTTCGTTGTTCCACTCTGATTAGCTGTAGCCGCTGGTCAACCCCAACTCCCCAGCTTCCGTGACGACATTAGAATTGCAACGGGAAGGAGCAGAGTTGTGGAAAATTAAACATCGCAGCCATCCCACGTTCCCCCATACAGCGAGCTAATCAACAAGCCTGGATTTGTTCTACTTCAACCCGCAGAATTCTTGGCTCGGCATCTGCCAGCACCTCTCCCGAATTGGATTCGCTTGACGAAGCTCCAACAACGGTCACCGAGAGAGCACCCGCGATAAGCAGTAGGTGTAAAGGGGCGGCACCAATGTAAAGCTATAATTGCAGGTAAATCATGAACTAAATTGCTTTGATTGGTAATTTATTTTTTCTTCTTTGGGTCAAAACTCAAAAATGCATCTCTGTTTCAAGGTAAACCATCAATGCGAGGGGCATTATATAGCTCTCTAGCTATTCTCAAGTTCAATTGATTTAGTTATGCTCAATTGATTAGATTAGGACGCCCATATTTTGCTTTACCTGACACCCTATACCTAGCTGCTTCTTTTATTTCCGAGTAGTGCATCTGATGCGATTAAGATTTAAGACTATAGCTTCCTTTAGGGATTAATTAAATTGGCCAGATGCTTGATGAACATGGGTAACTTTACTGCTGAAGTGATTTTTCGGAGTTCGTGGTGGCTGTTAGGTAACTAGAGCTAATCCAATTGACTTCTAATCTATAAAATATATAAAGCATATTCATATATTGGAATTGCATCATTTTGAATTTGTGGAGCCTAGAGGGCTTCATGGAAGGGTAATTATGTGTTTTCACTACGATTAATTAGTGGATTTTTTTTGTTCATGGAATGAAATGGTGGGATCAGCAATCATCATGATTCTGAATGATAAAGTCAGAGAAAGGAATTGAACTCTTTCACGCATGTGTCCGCTGGGATTTGATCCCCACCAATTTGGGCCTACACCTATGAACAAAGACTCCATATGCAAATTTTTATAAGATTAATACCTTATTTTGGCCCGAATTATACCCAAACTTTGTACTTTGACACGTGGACATGGTTTATGAAATTGCTTCCCTGTGGGTTTCGACCGTCAAATTGGACGGTCAACTCCATTGTTTTCTAATAAAATTAATAATTAACAAAAAATAATAATTCAAATTTTGGATTGCAAAAATAATTACAAAAATTCAAAATTCAAAGTTTTTATGTTCAGGTTTGCTGAAGTGGCAAGGCGTATTAAAAAATTCAAGACTCATTAGACATATTCAAATAATTAGATGACATTTATAAAAACAATACCAAACCAGATAGATAATATTTCAAAATATTAACAGTCGTAGCAACCAAAAGCATACTATATCTCATAAGTGGAACTAGGCCCTTCATCCCCCCTCATTTGTGGTTCAATTCATTAATAATTACAAACCATGTCATGTATTTTTTTATTCAACTATTAGAACTATTTTTATACATTATTAAATTTTTTTGAATTGTCATTATAAAAAAAATATTTGAATTGTTACACCAAAAAATATCTATTTGAATTTTGAATTACAAGGAATACTTGCTATTTAGATTAGTATCTTTTGGGAGGCTTTGGTATTGTTGGAATTTAAAGATTGAAATTGTATTTCCTTTTTGGAAGAGGATGTCCATGCACGCACTTATAGAAATCAATTTATATCATACGGTAAAACTTATATTCGACAATTATTGCCACGGTTTTGGTTTGTGAAGTTCCCCATAAACAACCATACTTTCAACTTTCTGTAGGATCTTTCCATGAAATGTTAAAAATGTACACCTAAAACTATTAGAGTGAGTTTTTTTTTTTTTACTATTATTGTCATGTATAGTTTATTTACATGGTGGTTTAGATGTTCTGTCCATCTCAAATTATCAATGTGTAGCGTTTGATCATGATAGTACTGATAGACTCATTGATTTCTAAATTTGAAGTTATAATAATACCTAATCAACCTCAATCAACCGTGGCAAGACTCCTCTAATCCTGCTATATGTTGTTGCTTATGCCAGACTTCAATGTAATCTTATATTCATACATTTTTATTTTTTAACTTATATTTTCAATAAATATATATTTTTTGTAGGAAAATTGCTACATCGTTCTTGGTCATATTTATGATCTGAGAATCATTTGGGAAATCACCCATATACAATACGTTGTCTCCAAGTAGCTATTACTGACAAATTCGCCTCAACTATATGGTCTACTTAAAGATTAAGAGACAATTAGTTATATGTATTCTTTTTTATTGAATAATTATACTTATTTATTATATCTTATTTCTCCTCTTTTTATTATATGCTAAGCACAAGATGCACAGATAAACGTACTTCGAGCATTTATGAATTGGATTTCCAGCATTTAGAATTTGCTGGTCTGGGAGGCTTTTACGGAAGGGCAAGAAAGACAATTTACCTGATCACTTAATTAAGCTGTGCGTTTTGACGTTCCACCACTGGCCCTTCATTCCGTGCGTGTGGAGGCCCTATAATTTTTGCAACTTCTAACTACAATGGGTCCAACCAGATGTGTCAGGCCAGCTTCATTGGACAAAACCATATCTTTTGGCCCACTGACATTGAATGAACTAATTGAGTGGTGTAGTTTTGTTCTGCAGTGAAAGAAACCAAGTTTCAAACATTTGGATATGAAGGGATGGAATGAACATTGAGCATAGATTCCCAGCATCATCAAACAATTTGATGAGAGACCAACCCCAAACATTCCCTTTCTCTTTCGTGTAGTGAGAGATACATAAGGCATAGTTACTAAAATACGGTACAAAAAAATCACGTATAAAATATGTATGAGTATTTTCCTTCGTCTTTAACATAATGTTCCGTTTAATAGTACGTTAATAGTCATAAATATATAAAATTTATTATTTTAAAAATAAATTAATATATAAATAATAGTAAAGTTAACAATTTAATTCATTAAATACTGATATTAAACGTGTTATACGGGTTTTGTACGTGTTTAGTACAAGAGTCATCAAATGGACGAAAATAAATGAAATGGTTTAACGATAATACGGATACGGAAGTTTTAAACAAATAAAATATGTACAGATACATATACGTATGTTAAATGGAGTATTTACTAACAATGATAGTAAGTAGCCACAAACAGAATCCCTATTGGAACAACAAATCCCACTTTTATATATTAGTTATAGTAAAACTAATTATCAGTCAAACTATCAAAATACAAATAATTAGTCAAATGCTAACTTTCCGGTAACAGTTCCATTATTAATGCTGACTAGGCTTCCCACATAGCGGTCAACACAAAATTATTTTCAATTTTTAATTTTGAAAAATTGAAGGTTAAATACAATTTATTAGCCAAACCTTTCAAACTTTTCAAATTATTAGCCAAACCTTTCAAAATACATAATATTAGCCAAATCTTTTACAATGCATGAATTATTAGTCATTTTTGCATTATCGTTAATAATTTTGTAACCCTTTTCTTAGTTAAAATACTAGAGTTTTGGAATGTTGACCCCCACGTGTCTCTTTCAAGTCATTATCATATTGCCAAGTCAATAAAAGAATTTTTTTTATTGATATCTGACGTGGACGCTGAGGCGGTATGCATAACTTATGGGGTGATAGTAATTTTTATGCATCACTTGAACAAACTTAAGGCGAAGTGATTCATACATTAAGTAAATTTTATGCATATATCTTACCTGATATTTTAAAATACAAAAAAGATTTGACTAATAATTAGTATTTATTTTATTAATTAGCATATGGTGATAATACTTATATTAGTCTCTCGATATATTAGCATGTCTCGATAGCTGGGGTAGTAGGTAGGGAGAGGGAGCTAATGATGAGGGGGAATGCACGGTGTGAATTTGATAGAGAATTGTTAGGGTCGTTGGATGAGGGAATTATAGAAAGGGAGAGAGTGGTGGTGGTGGTGAAACTTTAACAGTCCGCAGCAAGTCAGTAGGAAGTAGGAACGACAATCGGAACCCTAACCACGGATATCCAGCCTGATCCAACACATTTAGATTAGATAAAAGAGGGAATGTGAACATCCCTAAACTTGGGACTACCTTTTTGGCCAGGCGGGTGGACTTCAAAGAATCTCATGTTTACTTAAAGGGTAAGATTTGTCTGTTTAGTATTTCGTCAGACTTAAATTATACTTATAATAGAGTAACTGAGTTAGATGATTCATTCCGACGAAAGCTCATTAAAAGTCCAGAATGTTGAGATTCATGAGGATTCTTCTGCTTTTAGCTCTATTGTTGTTCGTTGGTTTTTCTTTGCCCATTGTACATTTACAAGTTCAGTATCCATTAAGTATGAATCTTTACGATTTGAGATTGTTTTTTGGTTTGTCCCACAGATTCTACATAGGCACAATAACACTTATGATCCAAATGGTCACGAGTGCTACAATGTATTTGTTAGTACAATAGACGTAAGGTTAATGTTGTGCCAATGGGTATTCACGCCATCGTGGTTTTTCTTCAACTTTCTATTTAGTTTCCTCTTGGATTTTTCATCTTCTGGGAACCTCATTTTTCTTATTTGTCTTTTTTATTTCTAGGATTTCCCTTTGTGAAAGTTTTCAGTTTGGGTGA